AAAAAAAAAAAAAAAAATAAAAAAATCAAAATAAATATTCAATATGCGGGTGAATCGAGGTCCAGAACCGACTCTTCCCCCATCTCTCTCTCCCTCTCTCTCTCTCTCTCTCTCTCTCTCTCTCTCTCTCTCTCTCTCTCTCTCTCTCTCTCTCTCTCTCTCTCTCTCTCTCTCTCTCTCTCTCTCTCTCTCTGTGTGTGTGTGAAGGCACACGTGTCTGTCTGCCCACCCTCTAACTGCTGAGACACCCGTGTTGTTGCACTGCGCAGGTTTGGGCGGCGCTGGGAGAGTATCCTAGCTGTGTACGCGTTTCACCCAAGTCGAGATGGCCAGGCGCTCATGAAGCGATACGACCGTGTCCTCACCAGCACCAACTGACCCGGTTGCTGTTTTGATGGATAGTTTGGCCACCTTGCTCTCATGCTTGCTTGTGGGTCGATGTTGCGGGCTTGTACGCTCTGGTTCGATGGTTACACTCTCTGGCTGTTGTACTGTGTGTTGTACTTGGGGCGTTACACTCGCGGGTCATGATACAAAAATACAAAGGACAGAAAGGGCCGCTCGGAAAATGTAGACATGTACTGATTTGGACTGGGACCAGGGGAACGGAACAAAGCACACCTGCACACGTGCAGGCGCATGTATATGCACACGAGCACACAATAGCAGAACATGACCAAGTGTACGGCACGGGCAACAAGGACGAACTGACAGTCTTGAGCATCCACGACAGCATTAAGCTCACGAGCTTCCGGTGTTGTCGATACTCAAGCCATTGGCTGCCTGGATTGGGTTGAAGAGGCATGTGATTTGTGTTGACAGAGATGGCAGAGTGAGCAACAAGCGGTCAACGGGTCAAGTGGTCAATGGGTGCGCATCGATAAAGAAAAAAGGGAGTGATCAAGTGAGCACAGTCCTCCTGAGTGGCAGGCCGCATCACAACACCAATCAACAAATGAAGCACAAATCACTCTTCCACTGCAGACACAGTATCGCGCACAACTGCGGGAATGCAAGCACCCGTACTCTTACTCACAAGAGCTTGACGATGGCTGTTGATTGCTGCCGCAGGCGCGTTCGCAGCGTCTCCACCTCGGCTTGTACCTGGGCCTGATGGAGAGAAGGCGGGCAGGGGCAGATCGCAAATCGCGCACGTATGAGTGAGGGAGGGGGGGTGAGTCGGCAGTTGAGGGAAGGGTTTGGAAAGATGTTGCAGATGGATATGAGAGGCTGAGCTGACACGATAACACGGCGCATTTCAACCCAACACCTTGAAATGCGGCCAGCATCAGTAGACAACAAAGGCTTACGTGGTAAGAGTGGTAAGCTGCTGTAATCTCCTCCAGTGTCTGAAGGAACTCGGCTTCTTGCTTCTTCAACTGCTCCTCGTGCGTCTTCTGCGTCGCTCTGACGGCCTCTTCGTATTGGCCAGACAGGTCCTGAGGAGCAACAGCAATGGATAAGAAGAAGAAGAGAAGGATACAAGTTGAAAGGCAGCAAGGAAAGCAACGCAGAACACAAGCAAGGGGGCAGACGAAGCAAATCACCCTTACAAACACACGCACACACCCTTGGTTTAAGCAGACCTGAAATGCAGTAAGAACGACGGCCCAACGCTGTGAATCCTCGAGCAACACGCGACGAGAGTCATCGACCCCTTCCTTCGCTTTGAGTTCGTTCAAGCTGCAGACACACACACACGAACACACACGAACACACACGAACACACACACACACACACACCAGTACGCAGGGGCATGGTCGATGAGAATCGGCGAGCGAGACAGAAGTGTGTCTCAACGCAGGTTACACAACACCCCAACACGCTTCCGCCCTTGCCTCGCTTCAAGCGTACACAGTTAGCTCATCGCACATTCTTTCTTTACCGTTCCTCGACAGCTTGAAGCGAGGATTGCACGGTCTGCTTGAGTGTTGCCGCCTGTGCTTTACACAGTGTCTCAAGTTTCTTCTTCTTCTGCGGATTCTCGTCCTTCTTCGGCTTGAGTTGCTTCAGGATGTTCTCAAAGTCCCTGAGGCGCGCGTGTAACAGTGTTTCAGTGAGAGGGCGCGCGCGGGTGTGTGCGAGTGCGGGTGTGTGTGTGTGTGTGAATAAGTGCGCGAATACAGTGCTTTTGCGTCGCACTCGCTTCTTGACAAACCACCCCCTTTGTTGTACATCTCGCTTTGAGACGTCGTGTGGTAACGTACAGGTCAAAGCCGTTCGCGTCCCCGCTACCATCCTGTACATCAGTGTTTGTGGGGGGGGGGCAAGGGATGAGCACAGCATAGGATGGTTTAGATGGTTTGGTGGTCTGATACAAGGATACACACCCAGTCTCTGCCTGTCACTGTCATCCCTTCCCCAACCCCCCCCCACACACACGTTGGAACTCACACCGCCCCACACACGAACCCGTACCATGGAGGCTTCGTCGTGATCCCTCTTCCCGCGCCTTGGCATGTTGATCTTGTGTGTGCTGTGTGCTAATGGACGTCGTGT